GAATTTGAAACCTTTAAGTTATATTTGGACGGGGAATATTCTTCTGAAATCTTGCCCGGATTCATTCAAATTTAAATGCATAACTGCTGGCTAGCAAGATCCAGCATTAAGTTACTGTCGTGCAGATAGTAGACAGTCCGATTCTTGTCGGTAGAATAGCTCACCTCTCTAGCCTTCGTTTATTCGTTTTATGATTTAACAATTCTTTCATATGTTTCAGGGGACATCCCAGAAAAATCGGTAGCACATAAATCTACCTGTATACCGCGAAATGCCATATTACCTGCTCTGCTTGTCGAATTTTTTCAAGTTCAATTTGCAAATTTTGTGAAAGCTTAACGAAATCCTTTTGCACCGTTTCCGATGTATCCAATTCTTGCTGCAACGCCGCACATCTGAAATCCTTCCTTAATATCATTTCGCCTAAAAAAGCGGCTGCTTGCTTCATCATGTCAAATTTCGAGCCGCCGACTTAGCTACCAATTTTTGATGAATCGACGGCTAGAAAATATGACTTATTTTGTGCTATGTGTCACAAGCATAAAATGCGAACTATGCCATTCCACCGAAATTAAAACAAAAATTTTTTAAAATTCAAAAAAATTAAACTGTAAAATAGGAAGGGTAGTGCGAGCCGTAGAGGCCCTATAAGGATCACATCAATACAAACTATGAACAGCCCGTCTAGAGGACTGCAGACATTGGCCAATACAGTCAGGGGCAAAATAGGAAGAGAAATACGGGCCGTAGAGGCCCTATCAGGAACATATTAATAAAAACTATGAACAGCCCGTTCGGAGAGCAGCTCTCGAGTCATTTTCACTCAACCAGCTTCTTATAATTAAATGATTTTATCGGCTTTGAAAAAAAAAACTGACAAAAGAACGCGTAAAAGATGGATTATTTCACGGGCACTGGAGAGCTCCAAAATGAAATCCGAGAAGTCTTTGTCTCCAAGGATGTCCGGATACCAGGATTTCTCAATTTTCATTGCGGATTTGCCAAAAAAACCAAAGTGGATATGTCTTAATGCTTTAATGAACGCACATCATAATCCAGGAGGTAGTGGCAATTAGAATGTAAGACAAACTTTTGCTTGTAAGTTGCCAGAGTCATTTCCATTTCGCTGCGCTCCTGCTGCATTGTTTTCACTTGTTTCTCGAGATCTTCAATTACTTTTTGATATTCCGCCACCCTCTTATCCATTTCTTCCACTTTCGAGGATGCATCTTGCATCAAAGTCAACTAAAAATATCAACACAGGAGAACACTCCATCGTTGGTTGAAAGTTTCAAGTTTTAAAAAAAGTCAGTTGGCCCACTTTTCACTTTTCCACTGTTGGCCAAGAAATCCCCCATATTATTAACTTCTACCACATCTCCTCCGAAAAATCCTGTCTGCGTCCGAAAAATGCCGAAAATATAAAAACTTGAGCAATTCCACTCAATGGCTTATAAACACAAGTCATTTTTTTTCAGTCACTCCAATTTTTTCAGTATCTCCAATTGAACCGCACATGCTACTCTCTTCAAGACAATTTTGTTATTTCTTCAATAAAATTTATTTTCCTTATTTCTT